ATCAAGACCGATCTTCTGTTTTGGTGTACCATGGAGCTGCGTTTCTCTAACGGCCCTGGCAGATAAATCATTTAGGTATGCATACTTAGAAATCAGTTTTTTCTAACATTTTTCATGTAAAATAAAATCGCTTCGAAAGTCACATTTATCTCAAAATTTTGCTAAGAAATCACTTTTTATTCAAACAAAATAATAATAATAATAATAATAATAATAATAATAATAATAATAATGACTAAAGAACCTTCTAACAAAATTACGTTATTGTGACTTGTGGAAAAAACCTTATATCTCATGGGGAGATGTAGAGTCTTGAGACAACTATTTCTTCCAAATCATGAATTCCTCACACGATATGATCCCCTCAAAATGACGATATAATCATAATCGACTCACCTCAAGACAATGATTTAATCATACTGTAATCGACACACTCAAATCTTACAACAAAACGTATTTCTAGAGACGCTTTAACCGCCGAGCTAAATGTATTAATTCAAGATTTGGAACCAGGCACGAATGAAAGAGATAAAGTAATAGCAATGAAGAGAGGTTAGTGTTTTTTTTTTATTTTCTTTCAAGAAAGAAGAAATGTTGAGTATGTTACACCAGTATTGCTTGTACAGGAAGAGAACGCGTCAAACACTTGGTGTTGGCAAAGTGTCATCCTGTGCATGCACTGAGAAAATGTGCTACACTTTGTGCTGCTGGTACGGGGAAGAATGCGCTCAGAAATGCATACTAAAAGTTACTCTCAATATAGTGATGTAACCGGGCATAACAAGAATGAATTATACTATACTCTGCGAAGAGTATCATCCTGTACGGGAGAGAAATTTGTACAAGCTGTAGAGAATACAATCCACTTTGTTTAAGATACACCCAGTCATGAATATTATTACACTATGCGCTAATCATCCAGTGGCATGCACAGTTCTTCTATTAAGGTCTACTATTCTGAAAAAGAAGCAGCTATGAACTTTTTTTGTAAAGAATCGTACTCATATCCTATTTTTACATTATTACAGACACTTGTAAAAAGGAAGCATAAGCAGGCAAAAGACAAAGACTTTTTACAAGGTATTGCACAGAATACCGTGCAATGCGAGTCAACTTTGTCAAATGAGTCAAATAACAAGCAAAAGGTTTTCGGTATTATAACCGATGCCGAAAAATGGTATTTTTTAAAATGCAAATTGGATAATTCCAAAAAAATTACTTTGAAATTACCAAAACCAGTGATCGTCGTATAAGATGGGAATCATTACATGCGCATTATCAACAACATGGATTAGCTCCAAAAATACATAAATTAAGTAGACGCATTAGTAATTTTGCAATTCTATTTGCTACGGTTTTACATGTGCTTAAGTTCATTAGAAATTATGCCAATCAACAAGGCTTACCATTTCCAGATAAACAAATAATATTGTTTGGATCACTTGCAGTAGAAGTAACATCTATTTTAAATCAATTGATTAATAATATACTTCATTAAAGGTGATACGCATTTCACTAACAATCATTTCACTGACAGCTTAGTTTACTGACAATTACAACATAAATTCTGAAACACCTAAAAATTTTCTCGTTTCTCAAAATCTCTTTGGTTTTATCCTAAAGGTCATCTAGCTCTTGGAATCATATCATTGTCTTTGGAACTTCATTTCGGAGATAGCGATATATTTTTTGAAGAGTTAGATGATCCATAGAACGAAACCAAAAAGATTTCAGAAAACGAGAAAATTTTTAGCCATCCCAGAATTTATGAAAACAGCTGTAATTCACAGACAAGTTCATTTCACTGACAATTAACTTACCGACAAGTTCATTTTACCGACAATTATTTCACTAATAGCTCATTTCACTGACAAAGTAATTCTGGTCATTGTCATTAGTGTTAGGTTAAAATTAGAGCTAAGGTTAG